AATAAGAATGTCTGTATAATGCCTAAATCCAAAAATAAACCCTATCTTTCATCATAGACTTCACATGTAGCCCTGGGCAAGCAATTTACAATGGTATTATTGGTTAAGGGGGATGAGGCAAAAGAGTATGGATAGCTCAATGCAACTGGTCATCACAGATAATAACCACAATAATAATAATAATAATAATAATTTTTCTGATGATGCTTTTTTTTTTCTTGTTTGTACTGAGCTTGTAATTACAACGTCATAGTGAGTTCCCAGTGAGGAACTTCCTTTACCAATACAGACCATTACATTCTCGGCAACTTACAATCTTAAAACATTGCCTGAGGCCATGAGTAGTCAAGCATCTTGATCAAAATCACACCTCTAGTTAGAAATGAGACTTGCACCCAGGCCTTTCTAATTTCAAGACCTGCTCATTATCCATTATACATATACATACTTATACATACATACATTTATACATACATATATATTACTATAGTTTGTAAAGTGCTTTAAATTAATTTTTCATTTGGTTTAAAAAAAAAACAAACCAGTGAGGTAGATATTGCAAATATTGTCTTTGTCCCTGTTTTACAGATGAGGAAACTGGGGTTCAGAGGAATGATGTTACTGGTTCAAATCTGGTTTGTTTGTTTCTTTGTTTTTTGCTAGGCAACCGGGTTAAGTGACTTGCCCAGGGTCACCCAGCTAGTTAAATGTCAAGTGTCTGAGGCCAGATTTGAACTCAGGTCCTCCTGACTCCAGGGCCGGTGCTCTATCCACTGTGCCACCCAGCTGCCCCTCAAATTTGGATGAAGAGTCAGTGACGAAGGCAGGAATCATACCAGTTTTTGTAAGACCAATGCTTTTTCTGTGACACCATTCTCTATTTCTACTACAGGATAAATGGGATACATATAATACTGATGGCACAATATCCTAAATTAAAAGGGTGGACTAGTTGGAGAGGTAGCATGATAAAGTGGAAAGAATATGGGCCTTGGAATAAGGAGAGCTGGCTTCTAATCCAAGCCTGATTACTATTGACCATGTGGACTTGAGCAAATCCCTTAACCTCTACAGAAATTGATCTAGCAATACATACATGAAAAATCAAATGAATTCTGGAAGCATGTTGCCAAGATTTTGACCTGAAATTGGATAGGTGGCCATTGAGTTACCCAATGAGTTCTATTTATCTTCAACAATGGAAGGGACAATGAGCTAGGCCCAGAACTGAAGAAGAGAAGGAATAAGAAAATCAGAATTCCTGGGGGGTGGAGCCAAGATAGCAGAGAGAAGCCAGGAAGTTGCCTGAGGTTTCCCTAGTTTGCCTTGGAAACAATGTTAAATCAAGCCTCAAGACCACACAGTCTTCCTAACTCCAGGCCCGTACCCACTGAGCCGCCTAGCTGCCTCCTTAGAACATTGCACTGGAGTAATGAGAAATCAAGTGTCTTGGCCAAAGTCATACCTCTAGTAGGTGTTAAAGGTGAGACTTCAACCTAGGCCTTCCTATTTTCAAGACCTGCTCATTATTCACTATCCCTATGTCCTAGTGATGCCAAATGGTTATGAACCATGAAATACTACTAAGGGTTAATGTTGTAAATGACTCAAAAGACAGCAGAGATTTGTATGGTGAGTGTAAAAAAAATTGTAGAATTATTACCCAAGATGATTTGCAAACAAGAAGGGACATAAAGGGCATCAAGAAAGAAATGCATAAGCAAAACAAAGAAGTGGGTGGCTCAAGGGCTACTCTAGTAAATGAAAAGCTCAAAGGCCAAAAGAAAGACTTTCAGGTTAATGGGAAGTTCCAGTAGATACAAAGGAAGATATAGGAAATAACTGAACAAGAAGAGAAATTAGGGATGAATTGTGATCTATACCAGTCGAGGAAGTGCTCTCATTGATAAGAGCAGGGATTTATCAAAGTAAGCTGAAAAAATAGCAGTGCCATGCCTGTCTAAGCAGTCCTATTTAGCTCATCCTGAGTGGAAAAATAACTAAAAAGTTGTCTACCTCACCCAACTTAGGGGCACCAGAATAGCTCAGCTGTTTATTTTTCCTTTTTTAATGGAAGAATAAAAACACAGCCATGAAAGCATCCAACATCATGGCATCACCGAGGGCTGATATTGAAGGTCGGGTCCCAGAAGGAGATTGGAACCATTCCCAAGAGAGTTGTCTTGATCTTGGTCAACACTGCAGCATGTGTTGTTTGACTGAAAGAGCTGGGGACTGGAGTCCAGGAGACCTAGGTTCTAGTATTAACTGCCATTAACTATCTCTGTGGTTCTGGGCAAGCCACTTTATCTCTATGGAATTCAGGGTCTATTCAGGTGTAGAATAAGAGGTCTGGGTTAAATGAGATCAGATGTCCTTCCGGCTTAACGTTCCATAGTTCTACTGATTGTAAATAAACTTCTTGAAGTCGAACTACAGCCTAAGGTAAAAGGATTAAACCCTTAAGTCATGGATTTATAGGCATAGTCAACCATTTAGGTCAACCCTTACACACCCAAGGCAAGTAAGTCAAGTCAATAATTTCATTTCTCAAAGCTACCTCTTAACAGGTTCTAACAGGTTTGTATATGTAGTCCTGATTTATAGTGGTTATTCTTTTCTTCCACTGACTTAATGATAATGGCACAGGAGAATGTCACTAGCCTGGCAGATATTAAAATCATGTAGAGTTGGAAATTCTCTTCTCAGAGCTCTTCTGTGATCATTTTCCATTTAGAAAGAGTTAAATTACCTTGATATGTCCATGGGGGGGAATGATACGGATTTTTTTGTTTTTCAGAATATTGCAGGGATTCTTAACGTGGTGTCTATGAACGTACTTTAAAAAAAATATTTTGCTAACTGTATTTTGATATAATTGCAATCCTATGCACTTTATTTTATGTATGAAAAAAAGATTATTCTGAGAAGGGGTCCATAGGTTTCCTCAAATTGCCAAAGGGGTCCAAGACATAAAAAAGGGTAAGAATCTCTGATATTCAGCAATCATGGTGGCCTTTTCTTCTTGCTATCATAACAAACAAGAAGCAGGAAAGTCTTCTAAAAAGAGCTTTTGTTTCAGAAGTAAATTCCACCCAATATTAGAATAAAGTCACTGGCCAGACTTGGATGCTAAGGGATTTGTGCCCTAGGCATCCAAGGTTCCAAAAACCTTGAGGGCAGGAAATGGGGCGTGAGTGATTATATAGAGACACTAAAGAATAAATCCACAGTCTATTTCCTGAATTAACAGTATCCTAGCAATAAATACATATTCTACAGTCACCTGAGTGGGGGAGAAAAGAATAAAGTGCAATTCCTCTAATTCTAATGTTACCCATGATTGTTGAGAAAATTCTGTGCCTGTGACTACTGGCAAACAATATTGCTTGAGGACCTCTCATTCCTTTGGTCTCAACTAATGTAATGACCTATATCAAGCCAATGTACAGTACACGGAGTCCAATGAGCAAATACTTTACTTAAAAAAGAAAAAAGATCTTATTTGCATTTCTTTTGGAAATGCTAGTCATTTATCTCTTCTCCCTTTACTAGATCTATAGACTGAAAATTCTGGGTGGAACTCTAGAGATCATCCAGTCTAACCCTCTCATTTTACAAATGAAGAAACTGAGGCCCGGAGAAGTGATGTCTGTCTTATTTTTTATAGGATCACAGAATCATAGTTTTAGAGCTAGAAGGGACTGCAAAGGCCAAACTTCATTTTACAGATGAGGAAACTGAGGCACAGAGATTAGGTGGCTTGTCCAAGGTTACATTGATTGTAAGTATCAGAGGCAATATTTGAACCCAGGCCTTCTGATTGTAGATCCAGTGTTCTTTTCCACTGTTAGTGCATGGTAACACATTTGAATTTCATTCTAGTGACATATCACCAGGCTCAGCCAGTATTCTTTCATATTTGCATTTGCAATGAAGGTATAAGGTTTTAAGCTGACAACTTTTTACTATCAGTAATAGAAGTGCAAATAGAATTCTAATCAATTTCTAATCCAAGTGTTCATTTTTGTTGTGCCATAAGAAAAAAACATGCATTTTACCCTAAAAAAACACAGGTCAGCAACTGCAGCAACGTGTTGAAAAATGTAATTTAAGACACTAGAAGTAGCTATTTTATTTGGATTTCTTATTATAATGCTCCTCAGCATCACATTTAAAGTTATCAACTGAGATGAAGAATTCAGTAATGAAAAACTTTAATCACGGCCGTGCTATAGCTGATTCTAGCTCCTTGCTATTATGCCAGGACATACATAATAGGTGTTTAATAAATGTTTATTGATTGGTTGTTTTTAAATGGGTACAGTTCTATGATTTAGAAGGGCCAGAGTCACTTCAGAGTACTGTGTAGCTATTATTTGAGCATGTGGCTAGCTAAAATTTGGGAAAACTCGTCATCAAAAGGTTGCTCCCCAAGCAATAACTCTGATCTTTATCAAGTCTTTATGAAGGCTGTTTCCAAAGCTCTACTGCCCTTTTATTTAAAGGGAAATGTTGGAGTTAGTTCAACATATTACCATGTCTTGTATTTGTTTCCTGCCCTGAAAACTTTATCAGTATCACATATACTTTACAGAGCTGCATGGGGAAAAAAGACAAGCAATTGCTAGACTTCTGGATGAGGCTAAAAAAACATTTGTCCCACTAAGATTTTTTTCTTGGATATCCCTTCTACACGTGTTGTGCCCTTGTCTGTGAGTGTACGGATGTGTTTGATGTGTGTATAAGGGAAGTGCCAGAACAATAATTTACTTGATTATAAAGAAGATTGTCAAGCTGATTTGTGAATTATGAAAGGAGTGATTATACAAACAAAATTTACATCTCAAAGGCCTACTCAGAAAGTTGAATAAATAGGCTAAGAGTTTAAGTGAATGAGCCAAAATTTATGTATGGAACTTTGATTAAAAAAGTTAACTGTAAAATAATCTCTCTCTCTCTCTGTCTCTGTCTCTCTCCCCCCCCCCCGCCCCCATTACCTTCATCCTCTTTGGTGCATTTGTGACTTTTAGCAGTGATACAGAAGTGGTTGTTAGGGTCCAGTTTTTCAGGATTTAAAGCTTGTCCATTTAAGAGCTTTTTCGGATTTACATTTGATGAATCATCTGAGGCCTGACGGGGGTCACGGCCTTTATCTAGGGAACTTTTGTGGGATCGATCCAAGGATTGAGACCTCCTGGGACTAGCCCTTCTTCCAGATACTAAAGAAGACCCAACAGGTCCAAGCTGCTTTTCTGATGGCTGGGAACAGGACTTAGGACTTATGTTTCCTCTTAGTTCTTCCTTAGGGAGAAGTCTCTCAGAAAGATAACTTTCCTTCTGAGTTGGTTTAGCAGTAGCCCTGACATCTGCTGTTTGCTCATCATTCATTTTAGGTGAATGAATGATCTGGTCCGAGATCTCCTCTGTTATTGACTCTTCTGAGCTGGAGCCAAGGTGCATTGGGTTTTGTAAGGCTTCCATGTATGATTTTCGAAATAGACGTCTGGTCTCAAAATAAGTAGAATCCCTTAGCGGCCGCCGCCTAGCACAAGGACTGCTCAAGTCAGTGCTGAAAGTAATATTTCTCAGGCCAGTCTTCTTCTCCTCCACTGTGTCAGATAATTCCTCAACATGGAGTGCTCTGTCTGTCTCCTCACACACCTCAGGGGGTTCTGAAAGGCCCCTCTCTAAGCTAGGGCACTCATGGGCAAACACTGCAAGGTTTACATACTCTCCTTCACAATCTCCAGTAGGGGTTCTGGGGCTTTCTAATTCAGTTCTACATTCAGGGGAATGGAGTGGGCTAGACAGGTCACTCCCCGAGCTTCCCTGGCTGCAGGACAGTGAGGCCTCCATGACCGTGCAGCCAGTGTCATTGGAGGTAGAGCTGCCTCGAGAATGGTTGCTCTCCATGGTGTGTGTGGGTGACCGGGAATCCAAATTATGGCGACTCAATCGGTTTAGCACTGGGCTGCCAGGATAATTATGAAGGATGGTTTCAGACGTAGGGACAAAGATGGGGTTCATAATGTTGCTCCATGGGGTGCGGTAGACCACTGTGCCTGTGGTCAGCAAGCAGCTCTGCAAGGGGAAGCTGGTCCTCTCGCAGTTCACATTTTCCAAAAACTCTGCCGTGAAGATGCATCCATACATGGTTTCAGGTACGGTGACTTCTTCCATTCCTTGTCCATGTTGGGCGAGGCATTTCAGAACCAGTTTGGCAGATTGCTTCCCTGCTGCAACAACTTGCAGATAGAAATCTCCTGGCTTGAGCCGTACTTTGTGGAGCGATGCTAGCTGTACCACCACCTTTTCGTGGATACACAGGGGCCAGCCTTCATGGTAGAAAATGAGGCCTGTGTACCTTGCCTGCAAGTCAAGAAGAGAGAGAGAAAAACATCAGTGAAAACAAAGGCCCCCATTCAGACAGGAAACGCTGTCCATTGTCTTGTGAGGTCAGCATGATTCTTCTGAAATTCTACTTTCCTCCAAGAGGCAGTAATATTAACTAGTGAGCATGTGTACCCTTGTAGAACTGGCGTGTTTGGTTTTTTGCTTGGATTTGTGATTTCCTGAGTAGTGAGAATTCCTAGGAAGGAAATTCCCTCTAACACCGAAGACTAGCAACTGCTCTCTATTTATAGTCTCAGACAGCTGCCTGGGGTACCAAGTGTCACCATGTGGCAAAGTGAATAGAGTGCTGGGCTTGAAGGTAGGAAGATTTGAGTTCAAATCCTACCTCAGATACTTACTAGCTGTATTACCATGGGCAAGTCACTTCATTTCTTTGTGCTTCAGTATCCTTATCTGTAAGTAAATTGAGGGGATTGAGCTTAAGGTCCCTTCGAGCCCTAAATCTATGATTCTAAGCCTCAGAGGCAGCACTTGAACCCATGTCTTCCTAACTCCAATGCCAGCTCTCTAAACACTCTGTCATGATGCACAGGAGAATTGGGTTTTCCAACCAGCTTACTAAATTTTTCATTGTTATTTAGTTGTGTTCTACTCTTTGTGACCCACAGGGCCCTGAATGTATATGGGGCAAATGGTCACATGCATAACTACAACTAGGTTGTGGCGACAAGGGATTTGTTCTAGGGCACCAAAATTAAGAGAACTTGAAATGTCTCAGCAGCAAACTTACTAATATCTAAAATAAGTTAGAAATCCCATAAAATCTTTACAGAACAGTTAATACTGATGCTATATAATTTTTTCCACAAAAATTGAGAAAGGCAGCATTCTACCAAATTCCTTTGATGAGACAAAGATGGCTCTAATACTCAAACTAGAGAAGGACAAAACAAAAAACAAACAAACACAGTACCTCTATGTTAAGGAATTCTACTTCTCTCTCACTCTTTCTGGCAGGCACACACCAGGTGATTTCCTCCACTGTCTGGCACTTCCCTTTCCCCTTCCCAGTGATTCTCCCAGAAATAGACTTTTAGTATTTTCCCACTCTCCCACTTACTCCAGGAGTCAAAATTGCTAGATATGATTCTGCCCATGAACGGTGGCAGGATGGTATTTTTTTCCTCCTCTTCAGCATAAACTCACCACCTACATGAGTTTGTTCTGTCCTAATTCATGGGGGATGAATCAAGCCCGATAATTTATTGAGAATTGCAGTCAATTAAGGAAACAATACAAACTTCACAAATTACATGTTTTCACCCACTGCCATTGGAAGGTTTTGCTTTCTAGGAAGATTTGCTCCAAAGTCATCAAAGCAAACTATAGCAAGGGTAGGGAGCATAGGAAAGACACGGAATGGCAGATCGAAAAGAAGCAGCAAAAAAGGAATTGGGACTTTTTTCTTAAATGGAGAGGATAACATTTCTTGCTTCCTCTAATTTCCTTTCACATACTTGACACCTAACACATGACTGTTGTGCATGGTCCTAGTTCCTGTTACCTAGCTGCCTTTTCTTTCAGTGTCAAATTCCTTTGTGATCAGAGTCTATTTACTTTGAATTCCCTACATTGTCAAGTGGAGTCCAGAATAAGGTACTGAATACAGAGGTGACGTGCCCAGGAAGACAACATCATTTGGAGCTTTGTCTGAAAAGAGAGATGTGGAGGAAAGAGTGCACAAAGATCTGTTTGTCTGAGATGCATTACTTTACACCTTCTGAAAGAGCCAGGAATTTGATTAGAATGCTCAGTCTACCTGCCAGGGACTAAATACTTTCTGTCTCATATTCCCCATTATAGTGTACAAGTTGTCTTTACACTCAATTGTTCTAAGAGATTATCTAGGTCAAGAGGAGAAAAAGCAAGAGATTTGGAGTCAGAGAACCTGAGTTCAAAATCTGTTTCCATTATTTTACTACACTATGTGACCTTGGCCAAATCTTTTTGCCTTTGTCTTAGTTTCCTCATCTATAAAATAAGGGTTTTGGATTAGATTACCTGTAAAGTTTCTTCCAACTGTAAATCCTGTATCTAAAAGATACACAGTCTTATGTCTCAGTTTCCTCATATGTAAAATGGGGATAATAATAGCTATAGTGTCTACCTCTCAGGGTTGTTGTTGACTTGGTTAAATTATTAGATCTTTAATGGATCAATGTGAAGCTCAAGATAGGTTTCTAGTGGAGTGCCCTTAGGATCCATCCTTTCCCTGTTCTATTTTTATCAATGACTTGGGGAAGCTACCAAACTTTTAAGTTTCCAAAGCATTGCACATATATTATCTCATTCGATCCTCACAAACACAGCTGGGGTGGATGCTATTGTTATCCCTATTTTACAGATTAGGAAACTGAGGCCAAAAGAGGTATGATTCATCCAGGGATAAAAAGCAAGGTGGGATTTGCACTCAGGTCTTCCTGATTTCAAGACCAGTGCTCTAATCCTAACCTAGCTGCCTCTTGTAAATGATATAACAGAGGGAGGGTATAATTACTACATTAATTGTAGCAAGCAGAATCCAAAATATCAATAGGCTAGAATGATGGGCTGAATCTAAAATTAGGACTCTTGGAGAATAAATTTAAGTGCTTCTATGTAGGTTTGAAAATTTTTATTGCATGAGGACAGAATGAGAAAGATGTGGCTAAGCAACGGTTCATGTGAAAAAAGTATTCTTCTAGCTCGGAATCCTATGATTTGATCTCATGGGAGTTTTGGTGGATTTCAGCGAGTCAGCAATGTAATGCAATTGCCAAAAGAACTAAATTAAATTTAAGCTAAATCAACATCCAGAGGAACAGGAAGGTATATCTAGTTCTGCCATATTTTTGTCCTAGTTTGGACCATATTTGGAATATTGTATTCAGTTCTAAGAGGCACATTTCAAAACGGAAACTGACAAGCTACAGCATGTCTAAAGGAAGGAGATAAAGCTAAAGAGGACACTCAAAAATCAAGCATTAAGAGATTGGGTTATTAAAATTTTAATTTCTTATCCCGCTAATCTGGGTATTTTATATTTTTGCAGATATTCATCCATTTTATTTATATTGTCAATTGTGTTGGCATATAATTGGGCAAAATAGTTGCTAATAATTTTCTTTATTTCTTATTAATTTGTTGTGACTTCTTTTTCATTTTTAATAGCTAGCATTTATATAGCACTTTAAGGTTTGCAAGTATGCAATTTACAATGTATATACATAATAATAATAACATAAATATATGCTATTTCATTTAATCCTCAAAACAACTTTGGAGGTACTATATGAAGGTACTGTTATTATTTTTGATACTGATAATTTGGTTTTCCTCTGTTTCTTTTTTAATCAGACTAGCTAATGATTTATCTATTTTATTGAGAACCAAGCAATATGAAGGTCAGGTAAAGGTAGGTAGAATGTTTACCCTGCAATAGAGGGATATGCAATCTTCAAACTGATAAGGGCTATCATATGAAGGAAGGATTCGACTGGTACTTGGCTCCTAAGTCAAGTACTAGGAGCGATGGTGGGAAATTACAGAAGGGCAAATTTTGGCTCCCATAAGGAAAACCTTTCTAACAATTAGAGTGTGCCCACAGTGGAAGGAGATCCTTATAAAATAGTAAGTTTTGCATCAGTGAAGGTATCTGAATGTCACTTATTAGGGAAATTATAGAGGATATTCCTGGTAAGGTACATTTTGGACAATGTGACTATTCTAAGTCTCCTGCAGTTTACCACTGCTTTGCTACCTGGAAGAACTTTGGATCTTCTATCAACACAGATTTTATCACAGCTCTCCTTTCAAGGTTTCTGTAAAAAATTTAAATGGTTCTAGTAATGTTTTCATAAGGATCTATTTGTATTTTTATCCTATCTAGGGAAGTCCTCATTTTTTTCAATTGAATTTAAAAACATTTGCTAAGGACCTGCAAACAACTCTGCTGGAATTTGGAATGCAAAAAAATGATAGACTCTTTGCCCACGGAGACATAGAGGCAGAAATATCCAACAATCAGATGGTGATGGAGGAATAGAATTCTGAGGGTAGATCAGGGTTGAGTATAAAGATCTGAATCACCATTGTATAAGTGATAACTGGCGGGGCATCTAGGTGGTGCAGTGGATAGAGCACCAGCCCTGGAGTCAGGAGGACCTGAGTTCAAATCCGGCCTGGGACACATAACACTCACTAGCTGTGTGACCCTGGGCAAGTCACCTAACCCCATTGCCTAGCAAAAACAAACAAACAAAAAAGTGATAACTGGATCCATGAGATCAAATGAGAATACCAAGTGAAGAAGTACTGAGGGAGAAGAGAAGGCTCTGGATAGAGGCTTAGGGGACAACCACATGTAGAGGGGATGATGATGATAATGACCCAGCAAAGGAAACAGAGGAGTTGTCATATAGGTTAGAGAAGAACCAGAAGAGAACTGCTGTACCTGAGGGGAAGAGAATACCTAGAAGGAGATGTTGAATGCTGTAGAAGGGTCGAGGAGAATGAAAATCCAGAAAAAAAAAAAGTTATCAGATTTAGCAGGTAAGAAGATATTGGTGGCCTTTGCTTTTTTGTTTCTAAATAAGTTCCCCATATATGATAAAAACAAGTCCCACAAACCACAATGTTTCCATTTTAATATAGTCTTGCAATTTCCCTTTCTGTATAACATTTTGTTGTTGAGTCATTTTTCAGCTGTGTCCTTCTCTTTGTGACCCCATTTGAGTTTTTCTTGGCAAAGACCCTGGAGTGATTTGCCATTTTCTTCTCCAGCTCATTTTACAGATGAGGAAAGTAAGGCCAACAGGGTTAAGTGACTTACCCAGGATCACACAGCTAGTAAATGTCTGAGGCCAGATTTGAACTCAGGAAGATGAGTCTTCCTGACTCCAGGGTGGCACTGTATCCCCTGTACCACCTAGTTATTTCTTCAGTATATTTTTCACATGGGTTTATCCATGCAGATA